GCATTTTTTTCTCTGAAAAAGTGAAAACTCTCAGAAATATGTGTCTGAAGAAACTTAAGTTCATTTTATACATAGTAATCAGAAATGACATTTCGGTTGATTTTGTTTTCATAGAATTTCAGGAGTTTTGTGGTGTGTGTGTATGTGCGTGTGTGTTTTAAGGGATCATGATTATAAAGGAAAGAAGAAAGAGCTAGAAACAAACTTCTACAAATCATCTTTAATTCCACAAAGCATCTAATACCTATGTCTGGAGTGAGAGCCACAACCTCAAGCCAGCACCTCCAACCACCCTTGTCTAGAGTCTCTGCCTCTGGGCTCTCCTCTCTCTTTTGGGTAAGAAAATTTAAAACTTGTAGGCAGACTTTATGGCATTATGTTTCAGGGAAGTGCAGAATGTATGGTAGTAATGATAACTCTGTCTGCTCTTAGCTTACCGTAGAACATCTGTCTCCACTCTATCAAGAATCTTAGACCTGTGGCATCTCTGCTCCGGCTGCCCCTGAATGTCTCCAGGGACAGAGGTGGTGACTCCAGGCGTGCTGAGCCCCAGAGCCAGCAGTCTGCCACACAGACAGTACTTGATGAGACCTGATTATTAGCGTTCAGTAGCAGGAGAGTGGCTCCCTTTCTCATCTGACTGAATGATGGGCATATCTGTTTCCTTGATAAGACTGCAGCCAGCTCGGCGTTTGTGCTTGTAGGTAGACGAAGATGTTTCTGCCTGCAGGCTGCAGGGACATCGGTTTCTCTTCTCTGTGTCTGTGCCACACCATATCTCCCTACTCATCTCACAAACTGTTTTTAAACTTAATCACACTAAACTCTTTGTATATGTTTGCCTGACAATAAATGGGTCTGGGGCCAGAGAGAGAACGTGCAAAGGAGAATCCATCTTGATTAGGAGAGAAATGAGAAACATCTCTGTTTGGATTAAAAAAACAAAAAACCTTATTGTAAATAAATCCAGTTAGAATAAGGACACAGTTTGAAAAGAAAAATTAATGGAAATATAAAACCAATTTTAACGAACTCTAAAAAAGTAAGAACTATTTTTTATTCTCTTACCTACATCTGTCCTATTATCTTGTAAACTTAAAAAATATTCTAATTCTCCTGAACTTAAATTTTCTGTGCTTAGTAACTTCTAAGCCTAATATCCTAAAACTAAATGACACTATTACCACTTGGGCTATTTATATGCAAAAACTCAAACTCCATATACATAGAGTTTGTATATATTTACTTTGAAATCAATATATATTTGGATTTATTTTGGTTTCTTTTTAGGTGATATGGACAACTTTCTTTTTCATAAGGTAATTTTTAAACCAAGGATCTTTTTCAGTTTATGCTTTACTAATTAAAAATGTTTTGTTAGTTTGTTTTTTTCTTGGGACCGAAAAACAGTTTCAGCTAGAGGGGATCCTCAGAGTCACAACCCTCACCAAAGGCTGTGCTACTCCTGCTGCTGGTGGGTCTCTGTAGCACTGCAGCCTCCTCATTATCAGTCAGTGGTATCACATTTCTTTACCTTGATAAGCTTGAATTTCAGGTTCCTAATTCATCCCAGAATTCCTTTCTGTCCTTAGAAACAAACTACTGATGCCACAGGTTGAATGGTGCATTATAATCAGGTATGCAATATCTTAGAAAGTGATACTCTTAAAAACTCCCAGCTTTGATGTCTCCACATAAGTCAGCCTCCTGTACTCTCCCCCAGCCTCCCAGGGCACACTTGCTTCTGTATCCCCAAAGTAGGTGGGAGTTGGGGTTTGGAACAGAGGTAGCAACTAAAATTGTCACCTTCAAGTTCAAGAACTCCATTTATTTAGCTAGAAGTAAATTCAATCTTATTGTTGTATTTTGAGGCACCATTTAAAACAACTTAATTATCTGGTTTCCTCCTATACACAAGACAGAAATTATTATAAGGAGGTTCTACTTAAGTGAGCATGCTGGCACTAGTGAGAATGATCACAACCTAACATTCTAGGAGAAAACAGAAAATGTGAGTAGCTGCTGGGCCAGCGTGGGTGCCTTGATTTTTAGGAGGATGGCCCTGTATCAGCACATTCACAGTGATCTGTCCAGTGTGACACAGACCACCAGGTATAAATTCAGTCTACTTATGGAAAAAGGATAATTTAGTTCATTTAAAAATGACTTATTTTAAATTGATTATACAGATAGGTCCTTGAAGGGAACATGTTTTCATTGTCTAGAAATCACGAATCCATTTGCCAGAAACTACTTTGGAGCAAAAATCACGTTCCTGCTATTTGTCCAGTGTGACTTTGTATTTCTTTTTGTTCCTTTCTCATAATTCAACTTTCCCTTAAAACAAACAGAAAACCTCATTTTCTTTGATTATTCTTAGTCCCTGTTCTGTGAGATAAACAGAAGGACAAGTTTAAAGAATAACAACGTACATTTGAAATTTAGTCAGCATAGTTTTCTCTGTTATGGTTTCATAGGCAAAGATATAGAAAAATATCAACATAAATTTTTATGGCCCATTATCTACCATTTAATATCCATTCTCTTCCTTCTAAAAGATAATTCTACATTTCTCATTTTCTAGTCTCTGGTTTTTGTGGTGGTGGTTTGTTTTGTTTTGTTTTTTGGAAATCACTAAAAGTGATGAATGAGGAATTTCTTTTCATTATCATGATTTGATCTTGCTCGTGTTTTCCTGTTCCTATCTAGATTACTGATTGGAAATCATAGCTGTTAAAATGAGCCTATGACAGAGGCCATGCTAAAACTTTTACTTCCTTAGGTCTCTACTAGGGCAAAATCTTGATTAATAAATGTATAAGCAGACTCCTTTTGGGTGAAGACAAACCATGTTGAAAACAACAGCTCTTCCTAAATCATATGTGAGACTTGTGCTCTGTGCAATACTCATAGACTCCACCAGATCGGAGGTTCAACTCAAGTGCAGGCCAACTGCCTTCATCAAGCCAGCCTTAGTGTCATCTCTCGGTATACTTCCTCAGCTACTGGTGAATACTGTTCTTCTTTATAAACCAAGTGTTGTCACTCTTTTTACTTCTGTCCTCCTTCCCAAATGGACACATTGGTCATTGTTGTAGGCAGGAGTTTGCAAGGAGAACAAGATAATATAGGACCCATAATTAATAGTATTATTTATAATGGTCACTCAAGGAGTCAAATATAAAGAAAGTGCAGAAAATCTGTCCACATACTAAAGACCTAAAGAATCTAGCCAAGGCCCTGGGTCCCAAGGTAGTATCCTGTATGAGTTCAGCTAACAACCTAGAGACCAAGACAATGCCTCCCATGGGCCTAGAGCCCACCACAATGACTTGTACAAGTCTGTTTCATGGATTTGCACTGAGAAGACCCCAAGGTCAGCAGTAGAAGCTAGAAAGTCTTTGCCAGTAAGTTGAGGGTTCTACCCTGGAACCAAGAAGCAACACTCAAAGTAAAAACCAGAGCTCCCCTGAAAATTACCACCTGAAAATTAGCCACCCTGAGTGATAGGGAGGTCCTGAGCTCCTCCGATGATGATAACAGCCAAATTAATACCAGGAAGCCAGTGTGACAAGTTTGTCCTCGAGACTGAACGGCACATATCTTCCCCTCTGGAGCCAGGAAGCAATATTCAACGTAAGGACCAGGGCTCCCCAAAAATGACCCACAGCCATTCTCAGTGACAACAAGGTCCCAAGCTCCTCTGACAATGAGAACAGCCAATTTCATATTGGGAAAGAAGCTTAACAAACTTCTCCAGGAGAACCAGCAGCACCAAAAAAACATCATTCTTCCTCTCCAGGTCTCCTTTTCGTGCTGGCAACAACCCTCAGGTGCCATCTGCACTCAGCACCAACCTCACTGATTCAGTTCAGCTGGTGTTTAAATTGACCATCAGTTTTCAATCCATCACAGCTATTTTTATTTGGAGTTTAAATGCCATCTCCAACATGCCTTTTCAGTTAAAGCCTCTTGTACCTTCCTGTGAAATGAACACCTTTTTTCAAGCTCAGTTTCCGCAGCATTAGGTATCACTGAATGAGGGATGAGGCAGGCAGGGAGGTTGATGGAAGGCTACAAGTGGTTACTTAACAAGACTTACCATGCAGCTGCCCACCTCCTTCGTGATAGAAGACGCAGCTCCCACGAGCTGACTTGACTTCTCCATGCCAACTTCTCCCTCTGTGTGGTTCTTATTTTTTGCCAATTCTGGCAGCCTCTCTGACCTCTGGGGACACATTGTTTTTTTCCTGTCTCAAGTGTGGAAAAAAATTGCTTGTTGTCTGAGTTGTGTTGAAATAAAACTGGCCTTTGGCAGAAGCTGTGTTCCGAGCTCAGGGGTGGTGAGAATCACAAGTGCTGAAGTGAGCAAGTTTGTGGTGGGCCGAGTCGTGAGATGAAGAAATGAGAGGGTGAGGAAGGGTTGTCCTATGAGGTCAGTCAGTTACAGGGCACTGTATCTCAAAGTGAGGCCCATGGGCCATCTACATCTGATTCACACAGGTCCTCATTGCAAAGGTGTCCCAGAGATACTAAATCAGAATGCATAACACTGAACTTAAGAACTACATTCTAACATTCCACAAACCTTTTGCTCCTAAATTAGGAGAACAACTTGTTTGACATTCTGGTTCTCTGCTCAACAGCTCCCTGAAATTACTTAGGGATGCATATCTATAGGTGCTCAGGAAGCCGTCAGCCACTCACCTTAGTCAGACATGTAAGCCTCTGAGAGAGAAACCAGCAAGCCAGCTCGAGCTGTCCTCTAAGTAGTATGGGGCCATCCACAGTTCTTGGAGCTCAGTGTGGTTCAGCCTTTGCATATGTTCTTCCAGACCTCATATTTCTTTCCTTTCACCCTCAGCCCCATTTGTGCTTTCTAAGTAAAGTATGAACAAGTAATAGTTCTCATTTATGCATGGCTCAGCTAGCACTGAACCCAGAAAGATTTCCATAGCTGCCCACTGCCCCCAGGAACTTCATGCAGCACGCAGGCATACCTTACACAGATTTAGGTGTTTTCCTTAGTTAACCTTGCCAGTTTCTTGCTTGTGTCTCTCTTTTCTATTAGACATTGAGTTTAATTGTCCTTATATAACTGAGCTGTACCCAGGGCCTGAGCCGGAATCATGCTCTATAAATGCTTGTCAAGTGAACGGATGAGCCAGAAGGTCTTGTGAGGCCCCTTGACGCACATTCTTCTCAGTTTGCATCGTCTGCCATCAGGAGTGACTGGATTAACTTGTGTGTAAAATGAAATATGTTTGTATTAGAATCAGCTTCCTGTGATTCTTACAAAAATGTGTTTTGTGAACAAAACAAATAGGATGGGAAGAATATCAGGATGCTTTAAGGGATCTAAACACTTGTGAAGTACATTTTTTTAAATGCCACAAAGTGCTTTAAGGAGCTTCAAGTAAATTTAAGAGAGGATCTACTGGATTTTGGCTAAGTGCTGAAAAAAAGTTTCCTTAATTCTCTATCCAAATACTTCAGCTTAAATTTACTGGTAGCTATTTCAGAGGAAGATGGGGACTCTGCAATCCTCAGTTTGTTATAAAGAAAATGTTTTTGTCTTCAAATGTTTATAGGAAGGATTAAAGGCAATTTACAGCTCGAACAGAAAGTAATAAAAGCAGTAACAATGGAGTGTCTTCTAAATTGTCATTTTCTGGAATTCCTAACAATATCAACCGAGCAGGCATTTTACATCTAAAAAGAATTAGGTTCATTTGTCATGCTTTAAGGTAAACTATGACGTCAAGCTCAAGCTCGAGCTGCTACCCTGGGTTGTTTCACTCCATTGTTTAGGATGAAGGACTGAGTCAGTTGTGGAGAAGAGGAATTCTGTCATTAGATCATTTGCTACGGAACTCAAGAATCATGTTTATAATTTATCTCTTTCAGATAGTCTGTGAAATTTACCTGAAATATATTTCTATAATACCAAGCCACAGCCTGTTTAGTTTTTCCAGAAATGCTCCATTTTTAATTGTCCAGGCAGGGAAAAAATCACAAGAGCAAAAACAATTAACCTGACAGATTATTTTCCTTCTAATGCTTCTAATGATAACCTTTTTTTTTTTGGCTAAGAAAGCCCCAGATTACAAGGTTTCTTGATACTTGTTTAATTGAAGCAACAATAGCTTTTTACAGTACTTTACAGTTTACTCAATCTTTGTAACAAATGTGAGTAGTAATAATATTATACTTTATGTGGCACTGAGTCCTTTTATTATTTGATGGAGTACAGAGCTTCAGAAATGTTTGGACTTCATTCAGTGTCAAATAATATAGGATCCAGCTCCAAACAGCATCCTCTCCAGCTATACCTCTGGTGAATCCAATGCTATTTTCTTTGGACCATGTAGAAAAGAAATCATAGAAATATTCTTGTTGCCTGCTTTTTCTGTTATCGATTAAATAATGATTGGTTCCTATGCTTGATGAATCTCAAGCTTTAGAAAATGTCCAAGTATGTGTTACAAATGACTTTTTGCATAGTGTAGAAACAAATCTGACATAGTTTTAAATAAACATCAATTTTGTATGATACCCTTCTAACTGTGTTAATGGTTCTGGAATTGTGTTAATATTTCTGACTTATGCAATGATGCCAATCCTACATACACAGCAGAGTCAGTTTCTGGTCTCAATGTCATCCCGAGGCGGAGACCTTCTGGATAGAAAGGATTTGATAGCTATGACTAGTTTATGTTATTATCAGGTACCACATGACACTTCTCCAATAACCCAAATCTTTAGTGGACTGAGATTTGTTCGCTCATAATAGAGTACGTCTCAGTGATCTACACAGGTTTCTGTTTAAATCCATTTTCTTCTCTTCACTCAGAGTAAAAGAAGCTGAAGAAGTGTGTAGACAGAAAAAAGGAAAATCACTTTATAAAATAAAACCAAGACACGACTCTGGAATCGTAAGTATTTATTCTAATTTTTAACTTGTGATTTTCCTTGGCTTTGAGCCCTGGCTTCACAATATACACAAGTTCAATACTTTTCCTTTTAAATTGGGTTAAACGAGAAGCTTCTAATTTCCAGAATCTCCTTTTCTTTATGCCTTTGATCTAACTCAGAAGGTTAAGGGAACCGCATTATGCAGTATTCAGAACTTAAAATTAACATAGTAAGCATGTTCATACGTGTGCATGTGTGTTCATCACTGAGGACAAGAGATCATCTTACACTTTGCTCACTGCACAGGGATCACAATCCACAGCTGCACCCGATCCCAGAGCGCCTGCACTATGGGCTCACTGTGTGGGGTCAAAGCACAATGGGAAATGCATCGTGCAGTGTTGCTCTTTGCCGGGGTGCTCAGACTTCATTAAATAGCTCTGCAAAGGTGGGCCATAGGTTCAATAAGCGAATCAAATCTCAGTTTCCTCTTTGCTCCTGTTGTACACTCTTGGAGAGAAGAGATCAGTTAAAATGCCAGCGTTTTCTTCGTGATACTGTAGGTGCTTTGTTCAATGTTTTGAAGGAGTCCTCACTTGGTGCCAGTGTAACTAAATGGTGTTGTTTGAAATGAAAGTTGATTTAGGCCTTTAAACAGGGCCATCTTTAACTAGATTGCTGTAATGTAGTCTGATTGGAAAAGACATTAAGACAACTCAAACTGAGTAGGATTAAGTAGCCCTACTTAGAGAAGAAAGGCAGGAATTGTATCTTCATTTAAAATCTCATTTCCCGTCAGTTTTTCTGTATCAAAATTAATCTTATCTAATGGCAGGTTTAATCTGATTAAAGTTCAGTTTTAAAGCTGTATTTAATAAGGAGGAATGGTTATTAGTTACCCTCAATAATCTTACTATAAGATTACAAGAGAATTAAAGCCAATTGACCATGAAATGAAGAACTGATTACATTTTCATATTTGTATGTCTGTATGTCGGACCAAGGATGACAAAGGTCCTACAGCTCCTTCCCATCGGTCAGAAATTAATTTTAGAAGATAGTTTTCCTCCAAAATATTTGGTGACTTGTCTTGGTAAAACTCAAAAACATAAAGCAGACTCTACTTTCATTTTTTTCTTTATAGATTGGTGGGTCTTTCACTCTTTTCACAGAGTATTTGACAAAAAGGCCTTATTTGATCTAAGTTCCACCCTTCTTAAAAGAAATTTTTCTTTCTCACTGTAACTCGTGTCTGACATGTTTATTTTCAGAAAGCAAAGATAAGCATGAAAACCTGACCAAGGAACAGAAGGAAGAAAATGGTCATTGCAACAACTTCCACAAAATCCAGCTGACCGGAGGGTGGGAAGGCAACTCCATCATTCTGATCATTTTTCTTCTTAGCCTCTTGCGTAATCTGTGTTTTGTAGACAATTCACCAGTTGTTGACTTTTAGTGGATGATGATCAGTGCAGAGTTAAAAACCTTTTCTTTTTATAATTGTTCATGGTGTCACACTGATGGCCCCAGCAGCATGTGCGCGCAGCAGTGTCTGCAGCAGCTCTGAACATGCTGGGGATTAGCCTCCGGACCCTTTTGTGAGATCCTTGTCACAGCGAAAACACTTTGCTTTCTACAGACAACCAGTACTCCACATCACTGCATTTAGACTCATAAATAAATGTTATTTCTAGTGAGTTGTTTGTATCTATTTTATGTCTACTTACAAATTTTCTATTTTAAAAATCTAAGTACCATTTATATATCATAATCAGTGCTTTCCCAGCTCTTGGGTTGCTCTCCATAGCTATATATTTGTGAAAGAAGAGTATCATTTTTTTAACTCAAGTCAGGTAATGAATAGAAAAACACATAGCAAAAGAAAAGAAAATAGTTTCCTATAAGTTATTTAATATAGAAGGAATCAGAGTTTTAAGTTTAATGAGAGCCTATAAAAACCTTATCTGCAGCAGAGGTAAATTAAATCGAAGATGTACCTCTCCAAACCTTTTATTTTACACTTCAAAAAGAAAATTTCACTCAGTAGTTTGAAGGAATTTAAATAAATGATGCTGATAATATTGCCAAACATGACTATCATAGGAAAAAAAAAAAAACAGAAAGAAAGGAAAACTTGGTGGGGGCGGGGGTGGACTGGATCTACCTAGAACTTATTAAGAAAAAATATTTGCTTGTGTATTTTTACATGATTGGGGTTATCATGATGAGTTACAGCAGGTGACTAAAATGAGAATTCATTATCATAAGTCAGGAAAGGATTTTATTTTACTTTGAAGAAAAATATGTAAATGTCTCACTCATTCTGAGAGTATTTTACAATCAGCTCATGAACATTTTGATGTTTATATCTAACATTAATAGTTGTTTTTATTTTTTTATTGCTATTAATGATATTAGTTGAGTGTTATGGTTGTAGAGAAAGGGGAGAATTTTTTGCCTTTGCAAACCAATTATGGAAAGCAATTTTAAAAAAGGTAAAATGATCTTCTAAATCATAACTATGTTTGTATTTATGTAAAGTATGGTATCTTACCTTTTAGTTTGTAGTTTAAGTGCAAAGAAACAGTAGTGATTTTTTTGTATTGTTTTTGTCATCTTCCTGTCCCCTCCGTCCCTTCAATGTGTATATTACCATTCTTCAATGAAATAATAGGGCATTTAACAAAGATCGCTCTGTGCAATACTGTATGTAGTGTTTCTATTTCAATTTTTTAGTATGTTAATTTATATGAAAATAAAATGAAGGGGCTGGGGATTTAGCTCAGGGGCACAAGCGCCTGCCTTGCAAGTGTGCGGTCCTGAGTTTGATCCCTGGTACCGATAAAAACAAAAAAAAAAAAAAAAAAGGAAAATAAACTGAATGAATAAAATATTTTTGTGTCTGTGCTGTGCACATTGCATGAAGATACTTGGAAGAGAACAGGTGTCTTAGTCACTTTTTGTGTTGCGGTGACAAAATACCCAATATTTCAATATAAAGGGGACGAAGTTGATTTGGGCTTACAGTAGCAGTCCGTGGTCTGCTGGGTCCAAGACAGGAACTTCAGGGTAAAGAGGCAGGACAGAATAAATGCTGCTTATAGTATGACAAGTAGGAAATAGAGAAAGAAGGGAGGAGAACACATTCTCCCAGGCCAGGCTGTGAATGACCTGCCACTTCTGACAAGGACTTACCCCCTAAGAGCCCACTCAAGTGCTAAACTCACTAGTGAGTGAATTCACCAATGAGTACAATGCTCCTTTGGACAAACCACTTTCTGAACACACAAGACTTGGGGAGATAATTCAGCTCCAAATCATAACAATGATCACAATATTTAACATTTGCAGGGTGTGAGGATTGAGAGAGGAATGAAATTAAGTTAGTCTGCAGATGCACATGTTTAGAAAACTTGTCCACTATTGTGTGGATCCACAAACATAAGTCTGTCAGTGATACGGACTTATGTCTTGAGCTTGCAAAAAATTTCTACATATTTCCAGATGGTTGTCTCACAATACCTTACAATTCAAGGTTTGCAAAGCCAAACTTAGGTTAGACTCTGGTCCCTCCAAATCTAATCGTTGTTCTGTATTACCTATCTCAGTGAACAAGGCCACCACCCCCCCCCCATAACCTGAGTCAGTCTCTAGATCTTACTTTCCCTTTTGTTGCCACTGATTTGATTACCAGGTCCTGTTGGTGTTGAGTGCTTAACATCTCTGGGATGCATCCATTTTCCTAAAGCACTCTCATTAAAGTTCTAGTTCAGAACCCTCTTCAGTTGCCTTAAAAAGCTGCTACTTCATCTCAGATTCCAAGATTTTCTTTGCACCAATGTTTTGCTTTACAGTGAACACATTTTTTTTTCTAAACTACTAATCTGCTAACCTGAATTTCTTGTTTAAAATATATGAGTGGAAACATACACCAGGATCCATGACCTCAAAATATTACCTGAAGTCTTTCCTGTGACTAAAAGAATGACCTGGTACTACCTTACATTTTGAGTCACTTCTCTTGATTCAACCTGTCTTGAATTCCAGCCTCCAACCAGACTAAAGTATTTTCAGTTGTTTTGTGCCATACTATTTTGCAGCTGCTGTGGTTTGAATGTATCCCCCAAAGTTCAAATGTAGAAGAAACTCAATCCCAAATGTAAGCATTAGGTGATGGAGACAAATGGGAGGTGCTTGAGTTGCGAGCATTTTAATGCCATTTATCAAGGAAATGGGTTTCCTGTAGGAGTACCGCTATGTGCACACTCTCTTGCCATGTACATGGCTCTCTTTGGCCATGTCAAGAGACAGCAAGGAGATCCTCATCATGTGTAACCCATTGAGCTTGGAATTCCCAGCCTCCAGTACTGAAAAATCACACAAATTTCTGTGGTTAAAAGTGCCCAGTCTGTGGTATACTGATAGTGACCCAGCAGGGACTAACCTAACTCATAGGTCTTTCTCGGTGCTTTCCCTCAGCTTGAAACACTTTCCACCTATTTATATCATATTGTAATAATATCTGATTTTAGTGGTAACTTGCTCTGGGACATCTCTGGGCACTTATCTCTTGAGGTTCATGAGTGTAACAGATATTCAGTGTATTTATTAATTAAAGCAAGATGAGATGTTGCCTATGCCAAGTGCTTCTGGAAACAAGTGAGTTGAGTACTGAAGTTCGTTGTTGAAAAAGAATAGTAGTAAAGACCGCAGTAGTATTAAGGAAGTAGAAAGGAAAGGCTCCGTGTAGATTGTCATATCATAAGTAAAGCATTTAAGCAGCTCCAAGTATGGGAGAATTTTTTATTGCTTAAGAAGTATAAGGCTGTGAGTTTTAAATTTGAATTTTCCATGTTTGCAAGTAGAAAAACAAGGTAAAATATAATTTCAGAAGTTTAACTAAAGCTGGTGGAGAGGATGAGGCAGAAAGTCACAGCGCATGAGCAAAGGGGCCCCTCTGCACAGTAAAATGAACCAATACCTCCCCACCCATTAATGGAGGGAAGGAAACCCATACTCTACCAGGAATGAGGACCTACAGTGCAACTTACCTGCCAGTACCTACCTACATAACAATAGCTATGTTGAATACCATGGAACCAGGCAGACACAAAATATCTTAAGTCCGAAGGTAGGACAAACAGACAAAACTGGGTCATGTCCACACTGTAAGGCTTTCGGCATTGCTGCCACACAGGAACCCAGTGCAACTCAAAAAGGCTGACTCCGGAGTGAACATGCCATAGAAGGCTAGATTTGGAGGAATAAGCAGGAATATGTTTTCAAAAAATTGTCAGAACAGTAAATCTCAGTAGATGGGAAAATGCATTCACTTTCACAAATGCAAATAGGACAAAATTTAAATTATTTGATAATTACCATGTTTAGGATCTGCAATGAAATTTGGAAAATCTAATTGGGATAGGAAAAAAACTATGAAAGCTGTGGGTATCAGATCAACTTGCTTGGCTCTGGGATGAGTCCAAGGGTTGGAGGACCATACCTTTGAGTGGATCATCAAGGCATGTCCCTGTGGTCTATATCTAGTCCCTCTTTCTGTCCTCTTTGGTACCACCCCCCATGCTTCCCAGGCACCATGAACTAAACATCTTTATTTCACCGTGCCTTTTGCCATGATGTTCCTGCCATGGAACCTCCTACCACGAACCGAAGCAAAGTTGAATCTCTCCTTTAAGGTGTGGGTGTTGCATATTGTGTCCAGCAGTTGAGAAACCAATTAATAAATGGGCTGAATGGATTCTAGATGGACACAAGTGAATAGACAATTGGTATCCTGCAAGATTCCACTGAAGAATTCACTTCCGCAGAGAGATTGTTTGTAAATGGACAGGAGAAGTTTAAAGGACTACAAGAGAGGCTCAGATTGAAGGATCTAATGAGAAGAAATTAGGAGAAATGTTAGGGCACATAGAAACTGAAGACACAATGACTGAGAATTTTCTACAATCAAGTAAAGACCCATTTTCTGCTTGAATGTCTGCTATAATAAGTGCCAGATGAGTTAAATTACAAATTTGTACCTAGAGAGAATCTCTATTTCATACAGAATCTCCATATAGGTAAAAACAAAATTTTAGAACCTCTGAGAAGACAGAACACATCATCTACAATGAAATGCCAACTGTCCTGAAACCGGATTTGTCTTCAGCAACCATGTATGTCAGAAAGTAGTAAATAATGTCTTCCAGTTGTGGACATTGTACCTAGTTTAAATAATGTCCAGAACAAAGCAGAGATGCACGTTTGCAGACATGTAGAATGGAAAGAGTTTACTATTCAGAACCCTCACTGAAAGGTCCAGTAAAGGGCAAATTTCAACAATGAACATAGAGTAAAGGGCTGGGATACAAGAAATCACAGAAAGCATAGATATTGGTGAAGTAAACAAACTCCAGATTGCAGGACAAGGACTATAACTTAGATTTACAAAGTACACCACCATTTTAGAATTATAAAAGATGGGAGGAATTAAAAAATAATTCATGATAAAAGTCTTGGCTTATTCCGTACATTCATTTAACTCAATAAAATTAGTAGAGTTTTAATGTGTGCCAGAAACTGCTATATACTTTAAAAATAATGGGAACACATTCTAATAGGGGAGACAAAGAAAAAATGGTGTAAAATAATGTCAGGAACTATGATAGTTAAGTAGTGTGACCAATCACTTACTTAAACCAGAACACCTTCAAGTAATAAAGCTGGACTGTGTAGTAACCTCAACCCTACTTCACACTGAAATATTTGCTAGTCTGAAACAATTCTGCCCTCTCCTCAACCCACGTCACCTGCGACTAACTGGTGACTATGCAAAAAGAACACTGTAGACAAACTCATTTTGAAAACGCTATGCACAATGTTAGCAAATGTCAGGAGGGCCAGGAGGAAGAATGTGTTATTTCTGGAGGCCTGGATGGTCACACACAGATGGCCATTGGCTATTATTTAAAAATAATGTACATATGAATTACATTAATACCTCCAAATGTTAAAAAAATAATTTAGACAATTCCATCGTTTTTGAGAAAAAACAGCTGAACAATATGACTGTGTTCTTAAATGTTAAAGTCAGCCCTGGGTATTTTGGAGAAGTATTTGAAGTATTTCCATCAGAGCTGGGGGCATAGCTCAGGACAGGGCTCGCCTAGCACCACAAACAAACAAAAAGAAGTATTCTCATTAAAGACTAGGAACAAGACCAGAATGTCTGCTTCTTCCACTGCTATTTATCACTGCCCTGGTGATGAATGAACACAATTAAAGGCATATGATTGAAATGGATGAGATAATTTCTATTTGCTGTTTATTAGATTATATACTCAGGAAACAGAAATAACCATTGCAGAAAATATGTTATAATATGTTATAAATTGATTAGACCAAACACTAATGTACAAAAATCAAGAACTTTCACATATGCAAATAATATTTACTAGAAAGAAAAAAAAATTGGGAAAACTCCCCTCCCCACACTCTCACACTTAAAAAAGAAACCAGGACTGGAGTGTAGCTCAGTGGTACAGCATGTGCTTAGCATGTGCTTAGCATGTGTGAAGCCCTGGGTTTGATCCCAGTACAAAAAAAAAAAAAGCTGAACCGCGTGGAAAAACTTAAGAAATATGAGTGATCTATAAGATCTATATGAAAATAATTGAGAGACCAGAAAAAATGAAAAGGCACTGACAATG